GAGGTGGTGATGCAATGACGACCGAGGTCGCCCTAGTTTCTCGGTCATCAACCCGCTGACAGACGGTATCGCGTGACGGAGTCGCAATCATCGGTGAAATATGACTACTATTACGGTTACCGCGTGTCGTATTCACATTCTGCGACGACGGTGAATTTGCAGATGTTGCAATTATGTTGCGCAACATATTGACTTCGTTCCTCAGCTCTGTTGCGGCTCGTTCTGATTTCTCAAATTTGGAACGGATGTCGGTAATATCGGCTCTCAACGTGGTGATGTCTTTCAACAATCTGGTGACGTCTACGTGATCGAACGTCACGGGAGGCAGCTTGTTGAGATCACGCGCGACGAAAGTTGGGATGTCATCAGGGTCGGTCTCATTGAACAGCCTGAAGATGTCTTGCAGGTCTTTCTTACCGCGTCCATCCCTGTGACGTGTGATAAGACGGATTTGGGTCACGGCTGAATCTGCTAACACCTTCTTCGCTTGGATGATCTCGTCCTCGGTGAAGCTTGTCATCAGTATCTGCTCCAGAGACACCTGGTCCATGACGTCCAATTTTTGTTGAACAAAGGCCAGCAACTCGTGGATTACGACGGTTTCGGAACGTTTAGGTTGACACGCCATTTCGAATTATTTTTGCGCAGTAGGTATGCTTACGCTACAAAAATACTGTAAGTTCGGCATTAGAGCCGTCACGTCATTATGAAGCGACTGCACTAACCGGTAGTAGAATTGCGACTGACTTTAGCAGCTTTGTATATAGTCTTACCTTCATCTTTTACTAATCTGACAGCTTTTTGAAGTTGCTGCTGATTATATTTTCTGTATTTACTTCCTTTTTCCATTACCAACCTGCCAACCAAAAATTCCGTACAGGTAATTTGGTGATAAAAAAAATTATAATTAATTCCAAAATAACATACACTTACGGATTTCTCAAAACAATATCTTTCGAATGATATATTAAACTTTGATGGTTTATTTTAAGTAAAAGAGCAAATTACGTTTAAAAATAGCATTGTAAAATGGTACCGATTTTTTTTTTGCTAAAACACTAAGAAACAACGGTCGCAAATTAAGGAATAAAAACTTACCTTGACTGAATCACGACTATACTGTAACTTTAGCTTGATGATTATAAGTTTATTTGATGGTTTTATATAGTTTTATTACTAAATCTGCAATTATTATAACTAAATTCTATCCAAATACGTAAAGCAACCCGAATCCACTAAACAATGGCGCCACAGCTGCGCAACTGTCAAAAAAGTTTACTCACCTAACGCTGCGACGACTCAGCGGAGCGCATGTAATAATCTATCCCCCTCACACTTGTAACAACTCGATAGCGCTGTCTCACGAACTTGCTAGCATTAGGAATTCCGTGGCATTCCGTATAAAAAATATCACCAAATTACTTATATCACCAATATACCTTTCCTTACCCTATAGGTTTTTCTTCTTAATAAATGACATATAAATGATAAGGCCTCCTTTTTATTAGTTTAATTTTTTTATTTACATGTCTAACTAATATTCACAAATTATTTAAAAAAATAGTTATATATATGGTGTTATCAAAATAGTGCTTTATATTCTACGCGTCAATATGAACAACTTTTACTATAGATCTATCTTCCAAATCACAAGAAAAATCAGGTCTTCCATACATTTTGAGCAAGTTTGTTTATTTTGTAATTTTATTTGAGTCAATCTCAGTCAAATATCAGAGTTCAAGTAGTTTTATTTGATATATTCAATACCTGAGATTTAAAGGAACATGAATTTAGTCATCCCATTTATAATGAAAAAAAAAAATATAAACTTAAGTATTAAATCCTCCAGAAAGCTTTCTTTTAAAGAACACAAGCAACAAAAGAAAATAATGACTAAAACTTTTAAACCAGTTTCAAGTACTCAAGCAAATACTGGATTTTTAGGAATGTTAGTGTGTATTGAATGTCTCAAACAGATAACAAATCTTGTGATCTGGCGTTATCATGATGAAAGACCACTCCTTTTCTGATTATCAATGCCAGCCGTTTTTTTTATTTCTTGCTTGTCTCATTATTTATTGGCAGTAGAGATCCGAATCGATGGTTTTACCCGGCGGTAAAAGTTCATGATAAACTTTCCATCCCAACATACACACATCATCATTTTATTGCGTGTTAATCCTGGTTTCGCTTTAGTCTGTAAACAAAACACATATCAATACAGAAAAAAATCACGTTTCTTGTATGGTCTTCATACAAGAAAAGTGATTTTTTGAGTCCTTTAACATTTTACTTGTTTTCTTTTTTATTTTATGTTGTTATAGCAGCAATATAAATACACATTCTGTGAAAATTCTACATATTACGGTTCATAAGATACAGCCTACTGACAGAAAGACGGAACGATAGTGGAGAATTGGCTCCCATTGATACTCTTTGGGTACGGAACCCTAATAAACGGCAATTATGGTCAGTTCTTTCAATAGAGATACGGTTTTAAGAGGTGGCTCCTTAATATTAGCTAGTTAATTATTATCATGTAAAGAACGTAAAGACATTGTGAGCCTCTCTGTTGAGCGAACTGTAGAAATGGCATGTGTTGAGTTTGAGCACCTCATTGTTGTAAGCGTCTACAGACCCCCATGTTGTACATATGATACTTTTGAAAACATTATGGAGGAAGTTTTTGCTAAGCTTAATAAACAGAATAAATCTGTTGTAATATGTGGAGACTTTAATATCAATCTCCTAGAAGCTTCCTCCATCAATATTAAATTTAGATCATTGTTTAAATCATATGGTCTTTTTAATTTATTTATAGAGCCAACGCGTATTTCTCAATCTAGTGCAACATGTATAGATAACATTTTTACAAATGTGAAGCCGTTGCACAAATGTATAATTCAAAAATTAAGTTCTGATCACTGTGGACAAGTAGTTTCGTTACCTTATGTTCACAAAAAGCAAGTAGATGAGAAAGTTGTGTCTGTTCCAGTAAATACACGTCGCTTGGAGAAATTTAGAATTTCGATTCAGATCTCTACTGCCAATAAATAATGAGACAAGCAAGAAATAAAAAAAACGGCTGGCATTGATAATCAGAAAAGGAGTGGTCTTTCATCATGATAACGCCAGATCACAAGATTTGTTATCTGTTTGAGACATTCAATACACACTAACATTCCTAAAAATCCAGTATTTGCTTGAGTACTTAAAACTGGTTTAAAAGTTTTAGTCATTATTTTCTTTTGTTGCTTGTGTTCTTTAAAAGAAAGCTTTCTGGAGGATTTAATACTTAAGTTTATTTTATTTTTTTCATTATAAATGGGATGACTAAATTCATGTTCCTTCAAATCTCAGGTATTGAATATATCAAATAAAACTACTTGAACTCTGATATTTGACTGAGGTTGACTCAAATAAAATTACAAAATAAACAAACTTGCTCAAAATGTATGGAAGACCTGATTTTTCTTGTGATTTGGAAGATAGATCTATAGTAAAAGTTGTTCATATTGACGCGTAGAATAGAAAGCACTATTTTGATTACAGCATATATATACCTATTTTTTTTAAATAATTTGTGAATATTAGTTAGACATGTAAATAAAAAAATTAAACTGATAAAAAGGAGGCCTTATCATTTATATGTCATTTATTCAGAAGAAAAACCTATACATAACATACACAAATATATTGATACATTCGTTATTAATAAACTATTCATTTTTAAATATTCTGGAATACATTCATAATTATGAACTTAACTATTAAGCCATAGCATAAAATAAAATTTCCCGTTAATCGGGTAATAGTTAAGCTGCTGGCATATACAATTTTTCACGCACACTAGCATCGTGCAAATTGTCTTATACACATTACAAAATCAAGATGCCGCATTCATGGAGCTGTTACTTGCAGGGAGCGCGGTATTTAGTCAGAGCGCGCGATGACTTATCATTAATCTATGGCAAAATAATTGATTTTCAATAATTTTTTTTTTCAAAACGTACGCGTTTTCACATATTGAAACTTTGCAAAACGCTTTCTTTTAATGAGTACTATCCATAAAAAAATATGGGCATTTAAATCGATGGTCCATATTGGAAAGTTTATCCTTTCGACGGGACGTTTTCTTTAGCTTTAGTGTATTTTGTATATAATTTTTAGTTTTAAAATGTATTTTTAACTGTTTCATTCCCAATTGTGCAAGTAACAGAGAAGAGTCTGACGAAGGCCAAAGAAACACGTGGTTAATTGTGGAAATTTCGCAAATAACAGACAAATGAAATACATAGCCTTTTAATAACAAATGTTATTAATAGCGAAGCGAATACTTACTTAATACGTGCAACATGCTAAGTTAGAAGCCCTACTCCCTAACGCTTTGTCCATGTATTTTGATCTACCCGTCTCTCTCGCGTACTTCTGCAGATTAGTGAGAGTGACAGTGAGCCTTAGTTTTGGAGTATTCCAAAACTAAGTAAAAAAACTAAACGAATAAAGACAAATATCGGATTACTCTTAAATAAAAAATGCATTGTAATCTTTTAAATACGCCAACAATCTAGAATGTAGATAAATCTTAAAGTCTTAAGCCTATGTAAAGTTGAATGGATGATTACTAGTCATTACCTTCACGTATCGTAAAGACTAAGCTTACTTTAAAGTGTAAGCTATTCCAACCATACCAAAATTTATGCGTACGTCATGGATTAGGAGTAAAATTTGGAGTTTTTTAAAAAAAAAAAGTGTACTAGGTAGGATAATTATTATACCTTGTAACTTCAGGCTCAGAAGGGCTAGAACCCAGAGCCGTAAAGCCAGTTATAAAAAAAACATGTAGGAGTGGAGTGTCGAATTGAGGTTATTTCCCGGACAAAATAAAAATAATTCATTGAAATTAGCCTTAGGCCATGAGTGGCTTAAACTGTGATTAAGCTTAAGCTTAAGGAATATTACTCTCTGACGAGAGAGTTAAAGATAATCATCAAATCGCGATGGTACGTTTATACATAAAGTTCTTGTTTTGGTAAAAATATACTTTGTTAGGTCTTTAAATTTTTGGCAGTAATTCTTTTGATTGTACTATAAAACTTTCAGGCATTACTTGGCGCACAATTAGTTATAACAATTATCATGGTTTCAATTATACAGAAACTCGGCAATCATTCATTTGCCAGGTGGTTATTATGTTCTCAAGGTTTATACCGGTATTTGTATCCAGATAACAGTGAATTAAAAACCCTAGCTGGAGTACCAAAGGATAAACCAAAAGGCAAGAAAGGTGGAAGGATAGAGCAAAATGGAAAACCGGAAACTTTCCATGTACCACGTAGCCTAGATTTACAGCTTGAGACAGCTCCAGTGACACCATTAGATGTTGTTCATTTAAGATTTTATACTGAATATCTTTGGATTGTTGATTTTTCCTTATACACAAGCATTGTTTATATCATGTCAGAGGTAAGTAAATAACATATAAATACTATTACATTTTCATAGTTTATTGACTCACTTCTTGTAGTACCTAGGTTTCTGTTAATATCAAGTAGAAATATACTTATTACTTTAAGCAACAAGTTACTGTAATTAACTAGCACCAAGCTTTACTCGAGTTCAGTGTTTTAATTTCATCATATCAAAAGATTCATCCAGAATCAACATTTGTGCTAAAAAAAACATTGTTGGATTTCAGGTCTAGTTATGTTATGATTGTCTCAGTGTCTTTGAAACGGTCTAGATAATCTTACATGGCATAAGAATAGCAAAAGGTTACATTATAAACCTAGGTGTTCATTAAAGACAGTTTGTGCCCATAGAGCGGCCCAGGCTGCATAAGTGGATTTTTGCCATCAGTCCTAGCTGTCACAGTAACCCGTACCATAATTTTTTTTTCTGTATATCTAGTTTGATGAGGCTGATTTCATAATAAATTATGTAAGAAAAGATTTTGTGGCTTAGCTTTCCATTGACTCCCGTCGAGTTGACGGTTGATACGTATTTTTACAGAAAAGTTACACTATTATAAACACACACACAAAGTTACAACATGTGGAAACGTGTAATTTTTGAGAAAAAAGTTATTGAAAATCAATTATTCTTGCATTGTTTATATCTAATCCTACCATAAAACTGACGCCATTTTGTAATGTCATTGTCGTCAGTAGGGATGTCGATTCTTTCCGAAAAAGGTTGATTTTTTTATTTAATTGTAAGCTGATGTATCGATTCACAAAAAATCAATTTCTAAAATATCTATATTTTTTTATGTTTGTATTTATAATGTAAATATAATTCCATTTTTTGAAAAACAAGAAAGATACCATAATAAATGATCTCTTATTGAAATTTGTTTCATTGTAACAGTACCTATTAGGGCAGATAACAAATAAAATAGGTTAGGTTCAACTTATGTCAAAGAACCGAATTGATTGACCCAGACTCCACCTGGTACGAGTCTGTCCTACCCCCAGAGTGGTTTTAAAGAGCCGGAGGCGCGTAGGGGGAGCAGCCTCCGCCAGCTTCGGCTTGTTGGTCGCCTTCGGCGACCAGCCTCAGCCGCTCCGGCTCGTCCGATGCCTACGATTTGTTACGCTAAGGCGTAGAGGCTGCTCTTCCCGCAGCGCCGGAGAAGTAGCAGTCTCAAAATATATACAGAAATCCTTCTGAATCAATCCCCCTATATTTTATGATGAACGGGATTTTTTTCTCATAAAATGGATTTATATTTACATTATACATGCAAATATGAAAAAAATATTGAATAATTAATATATATTTTAGAAATCGATTTTTTGGGAATCGATACATCAGCTTACAATTCGAATCTATTTAAAAATCTGTCTTTTTCGGAAAAAATCGACATCCCTACTGACAATAACAATAAAAGAATGGCGTCAGTTTTATTGTAGGATTAACAATGCAAGAATAATTGATTTTCAATAACTTTTTTCTCAAAAATTACGCGCTTCCACATATTGTAACTTTGTGTGTGTGCTTATAATAGTGCAAATTTTCTGTAAAAATATGTATCAACCCCCAACTCAATGGGAGTCAATGGAAAGTCGTACCGATTTTGTAGTGAATTACATTACTTTTCCTTTGATCTGAAGAATAATGTGGTAAAATTCTAAATAAGTATTTTCATTATCTTATGATAATTTTGATGACAATAATCTACATAAACATACTAATTTCTCTTTCAAATCAATAAGAAATTCATTTGATTAAGAAATTAGTAGGCAAATGCCTGACAATCTTTATATATAAAAAAACAATTATGTGTCACGTTGTTTGTCCGCGATGAACTCCTAAACTACTGAACTGATTGCAATAAAATGTTTCACAATGTGTGCAGCTTGGTCCAACTTCAGAGATAGGATAGTTTTTATCCCCTCAATTTTTTTATTGTGAGTTTAAGGATTTTTTTAGGACATATGGTCGTCGGAAAGGGCAGAACAACGTCTGCCTGGTCAGCTAGTATAATATATAAATATATACATGTATATGTGTATATATTTAGTAGATGCCTGCCAGCATTAGGGGACAAGTATACCTCTTAAGCAGTTAATAGCTTCCATACATTTTCTAATTCTTCAGAGGTTGACAAAATTTCTGATAATAATTTTGTATTTCTATGTTGTTTTTCTTTACAGGATAGGGTGACAAACGGGCACACAGTCCACCTGATGGTAAATGGTTATTGTGATCCATAGACATCTATATCTATCCTTAATAAAGAATCAAAATGCAGATGCGTTGTCACCTGTGAGGATTAAGATGGAATGCCTCTTTTTCAGTAAAAAAGGTCTCCAGTTCTCTACACTCACCATATGAAACAGCAGTGTTAAGCTGCTATTTTATGCTGGTATTCTGTGAGAGCGTGGTCCTTCCTCAGTCGAGCTGACCCATTCATGCTACAACTATACACTACTAATATAGCTGCAGCATGATTCTACCACATATAAATATATGTATATAACTTGAAGGCCCCACAACCAATGAAGAAGGAAGGTTCTGTGGCAGCCTCTTTCACGTAAACAAAATCTAGAGCGGCCACAACTATTTCACTATTCTCAAGTGACAAAACCTCATTGTTGCCAACAAGTTGATGGTACTTAGTGGCCCAGGACCAAATGTTGTGGCATTTCGAGGGAGGGCTGTAATGATGATGTAAGAATAATTTATTTTGCATAACATTTCTGACAACTGTATTGATTATGACTTGTTTTGGTATTACAGGTGTACACCTCTCTTTTTCCATCAAAGGATGAATTTAACCTAAGTATGGTATGGTGCTTACTAGTGGTGCTGTTTTCATTGTATCCTTTTATATTATTTACTAGACACTACAACTTGTTAAATTTCTAATTCATGCTACACAAAAAATGGCAGTTAATAGATTGCACATTAAAAATTAATATGAATTAAGTATTGTAGCAAAATTTAACAATATAAATGACCCAAAACATTATTTTTGATCATTTATATTGTTAAATGAGGATAGGCGGTAAGCATACATTCTGCTTACTGCCTATCCTCGAGATTACTATTAATGTACACTTGTTGCAACACATACAATCACCCACCACTTTTACGAGAAGTTTGATTACATATACAATACGCTTGCTAGTCAGTGCACGTTGCTACGGGCGGTCTTATTAAAGAGCACATATTTCAGCTTAAATTATAAATATACATGGATTTCTGTTTCAATAGAAAACATAATTCTTACCTCAGTGATGTTAGGCGCCTTTTGTGTCTTGTGTGGGATACAAGTTAAAAATGAATTATTTTTTTTCATGTTATCAATATGAAAGCAGCCATTCCTTGTGCACACACAGACCCTTTTTGTGTCCAGTTGTTTGCACTTGACACTGCCGGTAGGAAGCTAATCAAAAAGTGTTTGGTGTAGGTAACTGGAAACTTTAAGTAGTTAGTTAAAGACACAAGCAACACAAAGTAAATTTCCTTACAACTGTACGGCACTGACATTGACATGGTTGATTTGCCTTTCAATATTTATGTGTAATCAACACAACAAGCAAAGATAATATTTCTTCATCGACATGCATGGTGAAACTGACGGAAAACAAGCAATGAATTGTTACCAGTGACTAGAAGTAGCAACCGGCAACTGTGTCCAATTGCCGCTACCAGACACAGCGACTTTGGTTTCTTGTGATGTGTGCCATGTCGGTAACAAAAATTGTCCACTTTTGTGCAGCGCCTTATAAATAGTATAGAAATCGGAAAAAATTCAGTGCTAAATAGAAACATAATTTTAGAAAAAAATGAAAAGCTTTTCTTGTCTAAATTTAAAATCTATTCTAGCTTGTAATATATTAGATACCTATCTACTTTTGAAAAAGTTAATGGGCAGAACATAATATACTCGTATATGGAATCCTCATAGTGTGGCCCGCTTCGCATTGTGTTTTATTAAAGTGATACCGTTAATTATTATTACAAGAGGCATTTTCAGATAGTACACCTAAGAAATTTGTACATATTTAAATTTTCATAGTGTAAGTCCTCATTACTCTATGCTCCTTTTGTAGATTGATAAAATAATTGTGTGGTTACTTCACTAATGTATCACTTTCTATATTCTCCTGGTGTATCACAGCAACACCTTTAATATATATTCCATGCGGATTCCACCACAACTGAGTCTTATCTTGTTTTACCTTAAAATAATTTAAGAAGAAGCATCTAAAGAATGTAAAGATTGTTGTTACCCTATAATACATATTTAAATTCTCTATAGAATCGATAAAGTCAAGAAAAGTGTACCACTGCTATAGTACTACAGTACAGTCTAGGGATGGGCAAGGGAAAAAATATATCGATATACAGGGTATTTTTGGAACGCTCCCGAAAACTAAGACAGGCGACAGCACCAAGTATACCTTTGATCATGGGTCATAAATAAATTTGATCCTGATGAAAAAAAAAACATATTTTTACAACGTTTTATTAGCTTTATTCACGCGTCATCATGTTAGTACAGCTAAATGAAACGATAATTTCATAAAAAAAATCATGAAAAGACTGAAACATAAAACCAGCAGTGGAAACTGAATTGATATCACCTGACTAATGGAGGTTAATGTACGCGCGAACGATGAAAAAAGAACGCTGGCCTTGAACTTGGGCACTGAGCGATTTATCACATATTGGCCAGTATTACTGTGCCTGCATGCTATTGGTTCCCGCGCTTTGTTCGCTCCAAAAATACAGTCGCATACAGAGCTTACTTTGCGACTCGCGACGATGTTTCAAAAAGGAAGGAAAAAAAATTATTTATATCTATTGTTTTATGACTAAACTAGTGAACGAAAAAGTGAATGGGGAAAATTGTGCAGTAAAGTTAAAATTGTTGAGGAAGAATACCGAAAAAATTACCATGTGATCGACCTGATGACGGAAGCTCAAGCGAAGATGAAAGTGATGATGAAGTAGCATCCAGTAACACCAACACACCATCAACATCTGGCTTCCATGTGACCCAAGACGTCATAATGGACGGCGTGTCACCCTTAGCTTAAGTTTTTTTGTTACAAACTACTTTATATTTTACGATAGAAATAACAAACAATGCTCAAGTAAACATTATCTATTTTTAATTCCCACCTCTTCCAAAGTTCTAAGTAGCTAGTAAAACACCTATTATGATTCTACAATAAAACAATTAATTACTATAATATTATAAAACAATAGCCCAATACCATGTAGTACTTTAGAACGCGACTGTACCCACACTCACTCCGCTGTCGACCTGTATCTAGCTCGGTATGAAACAATACTGCGGTCATAAGAAAAAAGGGCGCATCTAACAATTTTCGAATAAATGAGTTAAATATACCATTCGACTCATGATAAGAAGACGCATCTACTAAATTTTTTTAATATTCACTAATATCAATATTTTAGAAATTATCGTCAGAATTTTAGACGTAGCTGTTGATCACAGATGACATTTTATTAGTAGAAAAGACTTATACAAATTCAACATAAAAGAAAAGACTTATTTAACCAGTTGCTACGTCATCTTTAACAATATTTGCATCGATTACTTAAATTTAAATTATTCTTGTCTTATTATTTTATATCTTATTATTAAGAGCTGGTGTTTCACATGTGGTCCCATATAAATTTGATCGAGGTCAGACCAATAGTTTTTGAGTTATCCTTAATTATTTATATTAAAGTCGGTTGTACAAATGTTTTAATTTTTAATTATTATCGTAGTAAGTCTTGTATGATATCCCCTTTAAAATCATTACTCAAGAGTTGCGGGTTGTTATTTTTTGTGTCTCACTACCAATGCTTTTCTAATATTTACTAAGAAAAAAGTAGTAAATTACTATTAGCGTCCTCTCAACTTCAAATGACCTTTCCAAAATATGTAAAAATGTTAAATGAATGGTAGTTTTGTTTTATTTATTAGGTTGGGAAGACCCAAATAGTTATATCCGTCTTTCCTTCGATGTTTTTGTGTTGCCAGGTGTATTTTTTAATCTAAGATGAAAAGGAAAATTCGTTTTATTTAAATAAATAAACAAATTTAAAAAAAAAATAAGTTCGTCCTTAAAATCTTCATGTCTCTACGTATATATTTCAATATAGATACCTTTTAATATACTTTAGACACGGGGTCTGAAAGAAAAATTCATCAATTTATTTTTTATTTCCATTTTACGTTTTTGTTAGTTACTTCCTTTTTTATTATGACGGCAGAATGCCTAACCCTGTCGCCTCACGCTTGTGACGCAGTAGGTTTCAGCCTTGACGGGGTTCGTTCGTTTTAGTTTTTGAGACAGTTCCGTGTTGATTTTGTACACGCGTGCGCGAGCGACAGTTCAATCGTTTTGTTTAATAAATTTACTTGTGATTACGTGTTGATATTAAAGTTTTTGTTACGTTTTTGGATTCTTTTTTGTTTTAATAATGCCTAACGCGTACGTTTATAGTGGTTATTATACTGCCGTTGGTTATTATATCAGCAACAACGTGTGCCTGGTTCCATTGAGCACATTATCTGGACGGATGAGTCGACATTTACCAGAAACGGCCTGTGGAACCGAAGAAATACACACGTGTATTCAGAGGTTAACCCGCACGCTGTTCGACAAACCGGGCACCAAACCCGATGGTCGGTTAACGTATGGACAGGTTTATTTAAGGATCGCATACTGGGACCAGTGTTTCTGCCAGAGCGACTGAACGGACAGCGATACCTAAACTTTATAAATGAACAGTTGGTTGACATTTTAAACGACCTATCGTTGGCTGAATATCGCCGCACATAGTTCCAACATGATGGTGCCCCTCCACATTTCGTGAGGTTCGTCCGTGAGCGCCTCAATGAGCTATTTGATGATCGCTGGATCGGCAGACTAGGACCACACGCTTGCCCACCTCGCTCACCAGATCTGACTCCGTTAGACTTCTTTTTGTGGGGTATGTGAAAGAAAGGGTTTTTAATCGTGAATGTGATAGTGCTGAAGAAATGCGCCAAAGGATCGTGGATGCTTTCTAGAAACTACGTACGGACTGTGTCGAAGACCACACGATGATGCCCCGCCTGCACCCAAGTCTGCCTTGAAATGAATGGAGCACAATTTGAGCCGCATCTCATAAGACCACGGAGGATTTAGAGCAGTAAGCTGTTTCATAACTATTTTTTTTTAAATAACTTAGTACTAGACTAATCTGAATAGGTACATAACTGAATACACGAGAATAATAAACATACCTACACGATGAATAAAAACGCATGACTCCAACCTTGGTTACATTTCATTTAAGTATTTCTTCATTAGCGGGGAATCGAACCAGTTATTTGGGTTATTTAACCTGTAAATTCGGATTAAAGTGGCTACGTGGAGATAAGCACAGTGGCAAAATAGTAGGTTAAGTAGATAAGTTAGGTATTTAGACACGTGTTGTAAATTATTAGGTATTGTGGGAAGGCCCGCTAGTTGCGGGCCGCGCGAATTTGTGTTCGCGCGTACATTGACCTTTATCTAGCTCAGGTCAGGTGATATCAATTCAGTCATTCCACTGCTGGTTTTATGTTTCAGTATTTTCATGATATTTTTTATGAAATTATCGTTTCATTTAGCTGTACTAACATGATGGCGCGTGAATAAAGCTAATAAAACCTTGTAAAAAGATGATTTTTTTTTTCATCAGGATCGAATTTATTTGTGACCCATGATCAAAGGTATACTTGGTGTTGTCGCCTGTCTTAGTTTTCGGGAGCGTTCCAAAAACAGCCTGTATATTAAATCGATATTTTGAAAGAGTATCGACA